TTAGCCAAGCTTGAGCGAGCTCAGGCTTGGCTCGTGTTCGGCTCGTTCGAAATAGTCGTGTTCGAAATTGACTCGTGTTCGAAATTGACTCATGTTCGAAATTGACTCGTGTTCGAAATCGGCTCGTGAATAGTGTGTTCGTGTTCAGCTTGCAACTCGATTTAAATGTTTTTGTTCGTGTTCGGCTTGTTAAAATTAATTGAAAAAAATAGATGTAGAGTGTTAGATTTGAATCTGAATCAAATTTATGCAAATAAGGTGCAAAACCACATCACCTCAATAACTTTTATGATTCAAACTTGGATGTAAATGTATATAATATATTATTTTTAAAATAATATATGTAATATATTATTATATAAATAATTATATGATTTTTTTTTAATTCAAACAAAAACAAGCCGAACATGAGCAAACAAATAGCTGTTCTTATTCTGCTTGTTTATAATTAGAGCCTAAAAAAATTATCCATGTCCGGCTCGTTCGTTAATTGAACGAGCTGAACACGAACTATTTAACAAGCCGAGCACGAAATATTCGCGAACAACAAACTTTTTTAACAGCCATATCTATAACACTTTTATATGCTTGATGCATGGTAGAATTATTATAAAATTTAATGAAACTTGCATACCGTCATAAATTTGAATTTTAACCCATCTAACCCCAAAAACATCAATTCATATATATATATCACCTTATTTATACAATAAGCTATGTATTTCAATTTTTAAATATTAAAATTGTAATATTTTATATGAAAGTGGTATAAATGTAAAAAGAAAATAAAATAAAAGTCGAGGTATTAGATTTGTAAATACATTGCCGCATTTTATAATTAAGATATAATCATGGACCATATCTAAAAACATGGATAATTGCCGATCAGTAACGGTTACGTATATGAATCCATGCATGAATTATATATATATAATATATATATATATATATATCATTCCTTTCGTGACTTGGTCTGGCTTTAATATTCGCTTTGCTGCAGAGTAATGAAATATTAATATAAATAAGATTCATTTACATACAGACCACCCAATTTTTATGTATTTATATCTAAAACCCATAACTCTCTTTTTTTTTTTTTTACATTTATAATTACCACCCAAGTCTTTTCATATTGCATAAAAAGCAAAATATATGTTTAATTTCATGCATAAATAAGGTGGCATATATAAAAAATAAAACTTAGATATAAGATTATATAAATACACAAGAACTAAGTGGCATATATGCATGTAAATCTATTCCAATAACTAATAAACATAAGCTAGAATAATGATCAAATATTCCTTATACTTCTCTTGATCAACTCCTGCACAAAAGCTTCAGCACAGCTTGGTAGCTGTAGAAAACAAGCAATTCCAATTTAGGTTGGAGAAGGGAGGAACCTTGTTAAATCTGACTAGTCTGCTTTTGAAGCTCATATAAAATAGCCTACTCTCAGGTTCTTCTTTTGTGTCCAATTCTCTCCTCTTTTTATTCAGACAGAGCTAGCGAATAAAAATGGCGATGATTCTCGACGCATTTGTGGGCAACTGCGTTGAAAAGCTCACGAGCATGGCGAGCGAGAAGGTGGTCATGGTTTTGGGTGTCAGGGATGAGCTCAAAAGGCTACAGCGTCGAATGGCAAGAATCCACAAGTTTTTGGAAGCGGCGGAGCGGCGGCGGCTTGAAGACCCAGACATCAACCACTGGGTTGGTGAGCTCAAGGACGTCGCTTATGATGCCGATGACATTATTGATCTCTGCAGGATACAAGGCACTCTTCTTCTCATCGACCGGCCATCTTCTTCCAAGAGAAGAACGGTATGCTTCGACTTCTCCCTCTTATCTTCCTGCTTTGCCAGCGTTCCGCATCGCTATGAGATTGCGGAGAGCATTAAAGCTCTTAATGATAAACTGGAGGAGATCTACAAAGATAGGCTGCAATTCAATTTAGAGGAGAGCAGAGAAAAACCAAAGCTTCAAACGATCACGGCGGTGAACACCCGCCAAACTTCCCCCTTGGTAGAATTTGATGTGTTGGGAATTGAGATTGAAGTGGCCACAAAAGAGTTGGTGACGATTATAGTTGCAGAGCAGGCGAATAAATGTCGTGTCTTTGCGCTTACTGGGATGGGAGGGATAGGCAAAACCACACTTGCCCAAAAAATATATAACGATAAGAAGATACAAACTGAGTTTCAAATCAAAGTGTGGGTTTGTGTTTCACAGAGTTATAATGAGATAGAATTGTTACAACAACTGATTAGAGGAGCTGGAGGTTACTATGGTGAAGCAAGAACTAAAACAGAGCTCCAACCAATTCTTCAATCTGTTGCTCATGGGAAGAGTCTTTTTCTTGTTTTGGATGATGTTTGGAGGGCAGATGTTTGGATTAATTTGTTTAAAAATCCTTTACAGAGCGCTGCCGCTTTTGTTAGAATATTAGTCACAACCAGAGATGAAAATGTAGCGAGAGAAATGGGGGTGGCACACATACATCCAGTGATGCAGCTATCAGTTCAAACTAGTTGGGAAATACTTTGGAGAAGGGTTTTTGTGGAGGGAGAAGAGAGGGAGATTGGAATGTTGATCGATTTAGGAGTCCAGATTGTAATAAAATGCTCCGGTTTGCCTCTAGCCATAAAGGCCATTGCTGGTGTTCTTGCGAAGAAAGAGAAAAGTAGAAGAGAATGGGAGAAGGTTCTTAGAAATGATGCATGGTCAATGAGAAACCTTCCTGAAGAGCTCCGTGGAGCACTGTACCTCAGTTATGACGACCTTCCATCTAATCTCAAGCAATGCTTTGTTTACTGTTCATTATTTCCTGAGGATGAATCGCTTGATCGTGATGATCTGGTTCGATTATGGGTGGCTGAAGGATTCGTAAAAGAGCAAGCTGATTCATTAGTAGAAGATGTAGCAGAAGAATATTATAATGAGTTGATTAGAAGAAATCTTCTGCAACCCGATCCTTTTGATGCCACTGAATGCAGAATGCATGACCTATTGAGATCTCTAGCAAAGTTTCTTTCACAAGACGAAACTTTTTCTGGAAAGACAATGGCTGCAACAACCCCCTCTTCAAGTACGAAACTTCGAAGACTATCAATCGAAACTCCAGAAAGTGTATCGGCCATTAAAGATTTGGTAGTGGAGCAGAAATGTTTGCGAACTCTTTTGCGAACTCTACTTACTTTCAGCAGAAATGTTTGCGAACTCTACTTACTTTCAATGGCATCAAGGTGTTGAATGATAATCAGTTGATGGGATTAGCACGCCTTCGTGTGCTGAGAATTAACAACGTTGATATCGATAGCATTCCCAATTCCATTGGTGATCTGATACACTTGAGATATCTTAATTTGGATGAAACAAACATCAAAGAGTTGCCGGAATCCATAGGAAGCCTCACCAACCTCCAGTTCCTAAACCTCCGGGCCTGCACTTTTTTGATGACACTCCCTAAATCCATCACAAAGCTGCACAATCTACGTCGCCTTGGTCTCTACAACACTCCCCTAATCTCCATACCAAAAGGAATTTCAAAGCTAGAAAAGATTAATGACCTCAGCGGATTTGTTGTGGCTGATTCAAGAGAACCAGAAGACTCCTACAGCAGCTTGGAGGAGCTGCTCAACTCTCTTTACCAGCTGAGAATGCTCAGTATTTCAAGGATGGAAAGAGTTCGAAGAGGAGCTTTAAGTCTTCAAAAACTAACTCGCCTTATTGACCTTAAATTGCTTTACACAAAAGCGGCAGATCGACCTCTTACAACAGAAGAGGACATCACACGCATTGAAGATGTCTTGGAGCAGCTATGTCCTCCCCAATGCCTGGAACGCCTCCACATAAGAAAATTCTTTGGCGCTCTTTACCCAAGCTGGATGAAGTCTCCATCCTTCGGACATCGTCTTCCTCATTTGACCACACTGGAGCTATCCAAAAATATTTCATGTTCTCAGCTTCCACCCGCAGGTGAGTTACCTCAATTAACTCATCTATACATAATCGGTGCAGCTGCAGTGAAGAGCATTGGGTCTGAGTTTCTAGGCGTGGGTGTGTGGGATGGCAACTACACAGCATCAAGAATAATATTCCCCAATCTTCAAAAGCTTATTCTCCGCAACATGCCTGAACTGGAAGAGTGGAGTTTTAACAAAGAGATGGAAGAATTTGAGCACGGAAGAGGAAAGACATATGTTTTACCTCATTTAGAAAATTTGGTAATCGATGATTGTCCGAAGCTTAAAGCACTTCCAAAAGGGTTAGAACAGTCAAAGATGAAGACCCTCTATATTCAAGGAGCTCATAGCCTTCAAGCAGTGGAAAATCTCATCACTGTGGAACAACTGATGATCGTTGACAATCAAAGTCTAGAGATGGTCTCTCATCTCCCTGCACTACAAGTTCTTCAAGTCAACCATTGCCCAGCACTGAACTCTGTAAAGAAACTAGAATCACTTGAGCGACTGAACCTGTTTGATGTGTTTATGGAGAGAATTCCAGAATGGGTGGCTAGGCTGCTCAAGGAACAAAATCTAGCTGATGATGCTGATTTTCTTTTTCAATTGGTTTGCAATGAGAGAACTCTTTCGAGACTACTGAAAGGAGGTCCTGACTGGTCCATAATAGAACGAATCCCACGCGTCTTTGCATCAGATAATGTGGGAAGAGGTTTTCTGCGATACTCAAGGAACCCTTTCAACTATTACACAAACTTGTTTGTTGTTGATTGAATTTGTCACTGTGCCATA